TTAACTTAAAATACACACCCGCAGCGGTTTTGTATGAACGGGGTGTGATTATGATGCAGTGCGGAAATCTCACAGAAACTGAAGCGAATTCCGAACCGCATTAGTGTGAACCTGAGCTTACACTCGAATGGGCAGCACCTGCATCTTAGAATGCAAATAAATCGCTCATTCACAGTGTATAGGACTCAGCGCCCATGTGAAGAAAGCCTTCAATGAGCGATGCGATTTCGGCACGTCATCAGCATGAACCGGGCTTACACTTGAATGGGCAGCACCTGCCGCTTAGAAAATAAATCGCCATTCACAGTGTATAGGACTCAGCATCCATGTGAACAAGCCGTCAATGAGTGATGCGAATTCGGCACGTCATCAGCGTGAACCCGGGCTTACACTCGAATGGGCAGCACCTGCCAGCTAAGAACAAATAAATCGCCCATTCACAGTGTATAGGACTCAGCCCCCATGTGAACAAGCCTTCAATGCGTGATGCGAATTCGGCATGGCATCAGTGTGAATCCGGGCTTACACTCGAATGGGCAGCACCCCACCGTCTCAGAATTCATAAATCGCCCATTCACAGTGTATAGGACTCAGTGCCCATGTGAACAAGGGCTTCAATGGGCGATGCGAATTTGGCAAGGCATCAGTGTCAACCCGGGCTTACACTCGAATGGGCAGCACCTGCCATCTTAGAACAAATAAATCGCCCATTCAAAGTGTATAGGACTCAGCATCCATGTGAACAAGGGCTTCAATGAGCGATGCGAATTCGGCATGCATCAGTGTGAACCCGGGCTTACACTCGAATGTGCAACACCTGCCGTCTTAGAATGCATAAATCACCCATTCACAGTGTATAGTACTCAGCATCCATGTGAACAAGGCCTTCAATGGGCGATGTGAATTCGGTGGCATGGCATCAGTGTGAACCCGGGCTTACAGTCGAATGGGCAGCACCTGCCGTCTTACAGTTCATAAATCGCCCATTCACAGTGTATAGGACTCAGCATCCATGTGAACAAGGCCTTCAAGGAAATCTATACTTTGAGCAATATGGAGGATGCCATTGTTGACCTTTCCTTTTGAAAATGCTAGTTGCCTGGTTGTCATGCTGGTACTTTCTAGTATATTGACTCCCAATAAAGACACAGATTAGAAGTTTCAGTTGCACTCCAACCCACCTTGCTTTTCCAGGTCAGTGATGAAAACTATTGAAGCCAAAGAGAGCCAGGTAACTAGCACTTTTTGACTTATATTTGTGCTCCAGAACACACACAAAAAAGGTTTTATTTAAGTTTCAGTGAGCTGAGCAGCCTATGTTCCAGTTGTTTTTTTGGACTGTCAGCAGCAGCAGGAACAAGCCCCAAACACTCTACCCAGTGGTTGTAATGCTGAGACTTGTAGTTCCACACCAGATGATGAGCAGCAGCCTGACCTCACCTGTTGTAGTCCATTGCTCACCCAGTGACCTGCCTATTGTCATCTCTCTGGCCTCCGGCGAGTGTGCGAGAAAAGCGGCATACATTTAGTGAGTAGAGTGACTGGTAAAACGATACAGGCAGAAAGATGAGACGGGGAATGGATAGAAAAGATACCGCCGAGTGTAGGCCTGATAAGTGGAGATGGAGTCAGGTTCTCCATGGTGGGGGAAGGAGAACACAAAGATCAAAGTTCACAAAAACAGCCCGAGGAGAACGTCCTGTCACTTCATCCCAACTGTGTATTAGTCAAGCGACTGTTAAAAACAAAGCTGTTCTCATATTTGAAGCTAAAGCTTAATCTGATTATGTTTTGCCTTCCCTGATTCTTTCCTCTCTCCCTCATCATCATGTTAGTGACATTTTTAAATTAAACATTTCTGTTTTTATTACATACTTGATTTTAGACCCAATGTTGTCATCGATGGGTCTCTGTGCTTTTCTATGCAATGCAGGCAGATTAGGGCTGGTGGGAGGGGCCAGAAGGGCCCTTCTAAAGAAGTCTCAGCCGTGATGCAAGTAGTGGGCTGGCTCCTTGTAGGAGTTATGTAAATATCAAAATGTTGAGTGGATGCCAGTCTGGTGGGGTAGGTGTTCCTAGGCATGCAGACATCTACAGACAAACAAAGAGAACATGCTCCTGCGCAAATTACCTGGGAGACTGGAAACCCATGCTCTGGCCAAGATACCGTTGAAGTGGAACAATAATCCTCTAATACAGTGGTCTCCAAACTGTGGCCCGGGGCCAGATGTGGCCCTTTGATTGCTTTTATCAGGCCCTTGGGGCACTATTTAATCTATTAATACCAACAATGGGACATAATTCCCCCAAACTGACACCAATGAAGGGGTACAATTCTTCCCAAAGACACCAATGAAGGAGCACAATTATTCCCAATGACACCAATGAAGGGGTACAATTATTCCCAATGACACCACTGAAGGGGTACAATTCCTCCCAATGATACCAATGATGAGGCACAATTCTTCAAATGATACCAATGACGAGGCACAATTCCTCCCAATGATACCAATGATGAGGCACAATTCCTCCCAATGATACCAATAATGAGGCACAATTCCTCCCAATGATACCAATGATGAGGCACAATTCCTCCCAATGACACTGATGATGAGGCACAATTCTTCCAAATGATACCAATGATGAAGCACAATTCCTCCCAATGATACCAATGATGAGGCACAATTCCTCCCAATGACACTGATGATGCGGCACAATTCTTCCAAATGATACCAATGATGAGGCACAATTCCTCCCAATGATACCAATGAGAGGCACAATTCCTCCCAATGATACCAATGATGAGGCACAATTCCTCCAAATGATACCATCCTGCTATGTAGACAATAAAAAATTGTTGCAATGGATGTTAACAAGTAGCCGGTTTTATTGTAGTTGAAAATGAATGCTCACATGTCATGCCGAGCCTCTGTGAATGAAAAAACTGAAATCTAATGAATGGAAGGGGTGGGCCAGGGGAGAAAAAGACTAGTTGAAGCTGGACGTCTTCCAATCAGGAACTGAGGCGGGCTCTGTCTGACTTGCTATAGCTTTCAAGCTTTCCTGTAGTTTTCAGATAGTCCAGAGCATTTTTCTTTTAAGTCCTTCAGGACCACCTTGGCCACAAGATTTTCTAATGCATCAAATTTTTTCTGAGACAGCAGCCTTGAAACATATAAAATAATCTTTTTGGGCCCCGTCACTGAACTCCTGCAGGCTGAAGTCCTGGTCCAGGAAGGTCCGGATGAGGAATAAGCAGAGTTTGGTTCTTATCCAGATGAAGGGATTGGGGATGGGGCCCGACAAGCTTTTTTATATATTATATATTTTTTATATGTTTCAAGACTGCTGTCTCAGAAAAAATTTGATGCATCGGGCCCCATCCCCAATCCCTTCATCTGGATAAACTAAAGGAAAGCTCTGGTTGCTAATTCAGATAAAATATTATACACTTTTCCTGGGATCGTTGTTGTATATTATGGCGATAATGGAGGTACTTCATCTTGGATGGATCGGTGACTGGTGGAAGCAAGTGGACAGATACGTTCCAAGGAGTTATTTCCATTTAATGCTGGCTTGCCTTTTGCTTCAGGAGATGCATAGTGGTGGAGGAGTATCACAGAAGTCACAGAAGTCGGTCATTACTGGTCACTACTGGTTCACATCACATTTTGGACTATTTTGGTCATTATTGGCACATCAGAGTAAAAAAAAAAAAATCTTCATCACCCCCCACAAGTAGGACAGTGTCACTATGGTGACACTGTACTGCTAGGGTGACAGTATATAAAAAAAAATAATAATAATATGACAAAATAAAATAAAAATGTAAAATTGTTTTTGAAAAATTATAATTTTTGGTTATAAACTAATTTTGGTTATTTTTTTTATTTTACTAAAAAGATAACTGAATATATTTTGGCCAAGATTTATGAAGAGAGATTATTTATTTGCAAAATTATATAATAAAAACACTTTTTTTCAAAATTTTTGGACTTTTTCATTTATATAACAAAAAAAAAATAAAAATCCCAGTGGTGAATAAATAACACCAAAATAAAGTTTTATCTGTCTCAAAAAATGCTCAAAAATTCATATGGGTACAGGGTTGCATGACTGCGCAATTATCATTCAAAGTGTGATAGCACTGAAAGCTGAAAATTGGCCTGGACAGGAAAGGGGATTAAAGTGTCCGGACTTGAAGTGGTTAAAAATTAATTTCCTTGCATGTGGTTGGGTGTTCTTTTTTCAAAGTGAAGCTTTACCTCATTTACTATTACAAAGCTCGGGAGCAACTGCACTTTGCAAAGTGCACAGTCTATTTTCCATTAGTAAATCAACATCTTAGTGCTCTGGACTGAGACAAACACTATGGGATTGATGTACTAAAGGAAATTAGACTGTGTACTTTTCAAGTGCAGTTGCTCTAGAGCTTAGTAAATGAGGGGAAGCTCTGCTGACTTCCATCATGCAATCATGTGCAAGCAATAATGCTGTTTTTATTTCCTTGCATGTGATTGGGTATTCTTTGCAAAGTAAAACTTAAAGTGCTACTAAACCCACAACAGTAAAATCAGTCTGTATATGCAGTAAAGCATGCTTGTTATACTCACTGTGGAACCTAAGAGGTTAATCCTCAGCATTGAGTAAACATACTGTTTGTTGAACTGTTTTGTCTTCTCTGATCCTCCCCTTCTTCCAATATCCCCCTCTTATCTCCTGATAAGACATATCATGTGAAGTCACTCTGCACATGCTCAGTTTGGTGTGTATTGCTAGAGAGGTTTTTTGTTTTTTTCTTGGGAGAGTGCATGTGATCAGCACAGGGCCAATCAGTCCAGACAGAGGTCAGGGGTTCTGCATCCTCCTAGAGCAGAATGAAAACTCCTCCTACAAGCTTTAACCAGTGCTCAGCTGGACACTGATAGAAGTCACAAGACTGCAATAACTGCTGATGAGAAAAGGTATTTAGCAGTTTATATTTAGTAAAATAATTGCATTTCCATGTTCTGTGTACTGTGGGAGACCAGATATAGTGAATACAGGGTCCTGGGAGAGCAGATATAGTGAATACAGGGTCCTGGGAGAGCAGATATAGTGAATGCAGGGTCCTGGGAGACCAGATATAGTGAATGCAGGGTTCGGGGAGACCAAATATAGTGAATGCAGGGTCCGGGGAGACCAGATATAGTGAGTGCAGGGTCCGGGGAGACCAGATATAGTGAATGCAGGGTCCGGGGAGACCACATATAGTGAATGCAGGGTCCGGGGAGACCAGTTATAGTAAATGCAGGGTCCTGGGAGACCAGATATAGTGAATGCTGGGTCCGGGGAGACCAGATATAGTGAATGCAGGGTCCGGGGAGACCGGATATAGTGAATGCAGGGTCCGGGGAGACCAGATATAGTGAATGCAGGGTCCTGGGAGACCAGATATAGTGAATGCAGGGTCCGGAGAGAGCAGATATAGTGAATGTAGTGTCCGGGGAGACCAGATATAGTTAGTGCAGGGTCCGGGGAGACCAGATATAGTGAATGCAGGGTCCGGGGAGACCAGATATAGTGAATGCAGGGTCCTGGGAGACCAGATATAGTGAATGCAGGGTCTGGGGAGACCAGATATAGTGAATGCAGGGTCCTGGGAGACCAGATATAGTGAATGCAGGGTCCGGGGAGACCAGATATAGTGAATGCAGGGTCCGGGGAGACCAGATATAGTGAATGCGGGGTCCGGGGAGAGCAGATATAGTGAATGCAGGGTCCGGGGAGACCAGATATAGTGAGTGCAGGGTCCTGGGAGACCAGATATAGTGAATGCGGGGTCCTGGGAGACCAGATATAGTGAATGCGGGGTCCGGGGAGACCAGATATAGTGAATGTAGGGTCCTGGGAGACCAGATATAGTGAATGCGGGGTCCTTGGAGACCAGATATAGTGAATGCGGGGTCCTGGGAGACCAGATATAGTGAATGCGGGGTCCGGGGAGACCAGATATAGTGAATGTAGGGTCCTGGGAGACCAGATATAGTGAATGCGGGGTCCTTGGAGACCAGATATAGTGAATGCAGGGTCCTGGGAGACCAGATATAGTGAATGCAGGGTCTGGGGAGACCAGATATAGTGAATGTAGGGTCCTGGGAGACCAGATATAGTGGATGCAGGGTCCAGGGAGACCAGATATAGTGGATGTAGGGTCCTGGGTTTAGTAACACTTTAATGTTGACTTTGTATGGGTAGAAAATTATTTCTGAAACAAACAGTGGGTTGGTCAGACTTATCAAAGACAAAGCTCCCTGAAGAATGTCATTTTCAGGAGGGTCAAATGTCTGCAGGCTGAATAACTCATCAGCTTCTTAGATTTCCTGGGTGGTGAGATCTTGGGATGCAAGCTCTGCAAAGATCCTCTAGCTACCACTCAACAGAGATCCTCTGCTTTTCCTCTACAATTTAGGTGTGTCCATGCCATCTAGTGGTTTAAATAGACAACACAGAAAAGGCAGACTGCAAGTAAGACTTTGTCTAGTCCAGGGATCTTCAAACTGTCTAAACAAACGGCCAGTTTACCGTCCTTCAGGCTTTAGGAGGACTGGATTGTGGCCAGTGAGAGTAGAAAATGTCCTGATGTAGGAGCAAACAATACTCCATCATTGGTGTCAGTGGGAGGAATAGTGCCCCATCATTGATGTCAGTGGGAGGAGTAGTGCCCCATTGTTGGTGTCAGTGGGAGGAATAGTGCCCCATCAATGATGTCAGTGGGAGGAATATTGCCCCATCATTGGTATCAGGGGGAGGAATAGTGCCCCATCATTGATATCAGTGGGAGGAATATTGCCCCATCATTGGTATCAGTGGGAGGAATAGTGCCCCATCATTGATATCAGTGGGAGGAATATTGCCCCATCATTTGCATCAGTTGGAGGAATAGTACCCCATCAATGGTGTCAGTGAGAGAAATAGTGCCCCATCATTGAGGTCAGTGGATGGAATACTGATTGGAATAATCCCAGGAATAAACCCATCCCAGTAAAGGCCAGATCCTGTTTAATCTCTGTGTCACCTTACAAGGTCCCATGCACCCTGGGTGTTTGCCCAGCTCTCCTGAACACTTTTTTTTGGCAGAGGAAAAGAAGCGTAAAATTAATTCAAATGAATAAATACTAAATAAATGCTAACCGCGCCTAACACTGATACGTGTTTACACATGTAGCCCCTATATATATGTGATGGGGTTGATTTAAAGAATTTAAATGAATTTTCTTAAAATAAAACCTTTCATGACAAGGGAGCTGCCATTGCCCACTGCCTCCCCCTTAGTATGCTATTGCCGGGCCATAGGCACATGCAGGATTTTTTTTTAGTATTCTATGTCCCAAACTGCGTGCGATGACTTCGCTTACCAAGTTTGAAAAATGATGTATTTCCCAGGCTGACACAACTCATTTGCTGTCCTGCATGTATAAGCTGATACTGGGGATGCAATTGCAATCCATCCCTTATTACATCAGAGAATGGGAGGCAGAACTGGGATTTGACTTTACCACTCCCCAACTGCAAAAAGATAATCCAATTCTCACATGTCCCCTTTATTAGCACTAAAGCCCAGGAAATCTGCTACAAGCTTATTTCTAGATGGTGCCAGACACCCCAAAGGCTAGCTAGAGTTTTTCCACATGCAGACGCCTGTTGCTGTAGAGGTTGCTCCCAAGTCGGTACTTACCTACATATATGGTGGAACTGCTCTACCATATGGCCACCATTTGGCAGGACATCTCCCCTGGATTCAGAAGACGACGCTAAGGCCTATTGGGTTTACCCCTCTCCACTACTTATTCCACGCAGCCTCCTCCTAATGTGTGCCACCCCACACCTACAATTCATTCCTAGATACTGGAAACAAAGTCGTTGCCCCACTCTCTGTGAGTGGCAGGCGGAATTAGAAAAGATCATGGAGGCTGAGAGATGGATATTTCTTAGCAAATAGAACAGCAATTTCTTGACTTCTGGTCTGGTTGGTCTGGTCTGGTCTGGTTGGACACTTGACCCATCCTGAAGTGGGGTTTCTTCCCCTATGGTGGTTCTTTGTAGAGTTCAGAATTAATAGGGCCATTCCCCCACTGGATTTATACTTGCTACCTTATCCCCCCTTATGCTATTTGATCTTGAGATTCATGAGACCTTCAGGTGCTCAGCAACGTTTTGTTGCAAATGTAGAGAGATAAATACATAGTTATTTTTACATAGACCCATTATTACGAACCAATAGGGTTCGTTTGTTGTTCTTGTCCCCTCCCCCTTTTTTTTCTCTCTTTTCTATTTTTTCTTTTGGTCTTATTTTCTTCTTTGGGTCCATAGGTGGCACTCACTAATCTGACCTTGGTCACTCCTTCTTGCCCAGAGGGCTTCCTTGCCCAAGGGGTGAGGCTCCACCTACGCGATACAGGCAACAGCTCCTGGTGTCTCAGCATCCTTAACAGGGTTGAGTCTCCTTGACAGGACCCATACTCCTCCTGTACTAGACTTTGATGGATATACCCCACAGGGTCACATGTGATTGGATAATGCACTTCTATTATTGTTATCTCTGCTTCTGCATTATGATTTCCATTTAGATCACATGTTTCTGTTGGTTCTGAGGTCGCCTACACCTATGGTGATTTCGATTTTCTAATTGTGTCTGGTTTTACAGCTTCTGTTTTTTTAATACCACGTAAAACTTTAATAAAAATCAATTATACAAAAAAAAGGAATGCTATTGCCTGACCAGGGGCGGACTGACCAATTGGAAACTCAGGCACTGCCCGAGGGCCTGGGGTCAGTAGGGGGCCCCATGAGATTCCCCTGGTACCTTTTTCATAGGCTTTTTTGAGTTTGGGCAAGGACACAGGGGCCCCATGATCTCCTATTGCCCGGGGGCCCCATGAGTTGTCAGTCCGCCCCCTGTGCCTGACTGTCTTTGGCTTCTTCAGTGCTATGGAGTCACAGATCCAGAAAAGGAATGCATGCAGTAAGACCTCCTGATCTGGTTACAAGTGTGACTCAGCATTGAGGATCAGCATGTGACCCAGGAAACCTACGTAGTTTCTCTTGAAAAGTTTCCTTCACCACACCTGCATTCCTATCTGGAAGCCAATAAAAATGTAACTTTAGTATTATAGCCAAGAAAGGTAGCTTATCCGTAGAGTATTTAGCATGACGCACACCTGAAGGTTAAGGTACATTTACACTTGAAGTAATTGTAAAGGATATTTTTTTATAATGTAAACTTGTTGTAAAGGCTGAAGGGTTTTTACCTTCATGCATTCTATGCACAGCCCCCCCTATTACTCACCTAAGCCCCCTCTCGATCCAGCGTTGTGCATGGGAACCTTGGCTGTCGTGGGTCTCTCCCTCCTCATTGGCTGAGACACAGTAGTGGGAACCATTGACTGTCAATCACAGTCAGTGAGCCAATGAGGAGAGTGCAGAGGACGGGGCTGAGCCCTGGCTCAATGTGTCTTATGGACATATAGAGTGGAGCTCAGGAGTGAGCACGCACCAGTGCCCCCATAGCAGGCAGCTACTGGGGGCATTGTACAAAGGTGAGGAGTCAGGAGCACCGTGGGGGGAGGATCTGAGAAGAGGAGGATCGGAGCTGCTCTGTGCAAAACCATTACACAGAGCAGGTATGTATAACATGTTTGTTATTTAAATAGAAAATCCAAACCTTTAGAATTACTTTAAATAAAAAAGATGTTATACTTACCTGCTGTATGCAGTGGAATCGCACAAACCAATCCTAATCCTCCTCCTCTGGAGTCTCCTCTAGTGTTGTCTGCTCCTCCTTGTTTCCAGTGCTCCATTAGTAATCCTGTGCTAGGGGGGCACCTGTGTGGGCGCGCTCCTGAGCCAGGCTGTGTGCATTCATAGACACACACAGCACCAGTACACCACTCCACATGCCATTCCCTTCTCACAGGACTTAGACTGACAGCAGCAGACCAGGAATTGGAGGAGCAGTGCTGCAGCAGAGACAGCATTAGATCGATGAGAAGAGTCAGATAAGTGTTTATGGATGGGGAGGGGGGGGAGTGAGCAGTTAGTGGGCGTTTTTTTTTTCATGTTGCAAAGAATCCATTAACCACTTCCCAACCGCCCTATAGCAGAACTACTGTTACAGGACGGCAGGGCTGCGCAAAATCATGTATATATACAGGGGTGTATTTACCACAAGGCAAACAAGGCATTTGCCTAGGGCGGCATTTCTCAGGGGGGGGCAGCACTGCCCCTCGGAAGAAGAGACAAAAGAAGGGACACACGTGGCATGGGGACTTGGTGGGTTCCGAGAGAGGCTGCGGGTTTCATGACGGTGTATGCACAGCCCAACTCTTGTTCCCGGGGATGTCTGGAGCTGTTAAGGTGAGTGTCTCTCTCTCTCGCCATGGGGGATGATGGCTGGTGTATGGGGGGGCAGTGGTAGTGGAAGGTGATAGCCAGGGGCTATCTCTTGGGCGGGAGGCAGGAGTGTTTTTGGTCAATGTCAGGCTCTCTCTGCGGGGGGGACACCAATTTTTTTTGTTTCCTAGGGCAGCACAAATTCTAAATACATCACTGTATATATACGTGAGTTCGCATTTCTGGGTAGGGGGTGCACACGTGCACCCCCCTCCCCGCGCCGCCATAGGATGCTACAGCTGTTGATCACCAGGTCCCAGCTGGAGATTCCCCGCTGGCACCCAGTGATCGCCGAGGAACACTGACAGGGGAGAGGTCTGTATGTAAGCAATACAGAGC